ACAGCAGAAATTTGAAGTCGATCCGACTAAATCCCTAGGAGGAGTTCGTTAAAGTACGTAATGAGTAAATCATCCAAAAATGGCGGTAAAATTAGAAATGGCCGACTTCCTGTTGAGTTTAGGGCATCGCTCCAAGAGACTTTTCTGTGCGTCTGGACATGGTAGATGTACCACAGAAATTTCGTACATGTCGGTCAAACATGCGGCGGGGGCTGCTTCGTTAAAGGTCACTTCCTGTTGCCAGCAGGTGGCGCTATGACTGTGGGTGAATGTCGGCATGTAGATTTGTTCAGGGCGGGACTCTTGTCAAATGTGTAAAATTTCGTGCAGATCTGGGCATTTACAGCCAAGTTACTACAACTTCCTGTTTCATGGCGAATCATCGACGCCACGGACACGCCCATCGACGAAAACGCGCAGATAGCACAACTTTACATCGTCAATGCCTTTAGAAGGTACAGCAGAAATTTGAAGTTGATCCGACTAAATCCCTAGGAGGAGTTCGTTAAAGTACGGAGTGTGTAAATCATCCAAAATGGTCGCAAATTAAAATGGCGGACTTCCTGTCGAGTTTAGGGTATGGGTTCAAGGCTTTTTTGTGCGTCTGGTCATGGTAGATGTACCACAGAAATTTCGTACATGTCGGTCAAACATGCGGCGGGGGCTGCTTCGTTAAAGTTCACTTCCTGTTGCCAGCAGGTGGCGCTATGACTGTGGGTGAAAGTCGGCATGTAGATTTGTTCAGGGCGGGACTCTTGTCAAATGTGTAAAATTTCGTGCAGATCTGGGCATTTACAGCCAAGTTACTACAACTTCCTGTTTCATGGCGAATCATCGACGCCACGGACACGCCCATCAACGAAAACGCGCAGATAGCACAACTTTACATTGTCAATGCCTTTAGAAGGTACAGCAGAAATTTGAAGTCGATCCGACTAAATCCCTAGGAGGAGTTCGTTAAAGTACGGAGTGTGTAAATCGTCCAAAAATGGCCGCCAAATTCAAAATGGCAGACTTCCTGTTGAGTTTAGGGTATGGGTTCTTGAGGCTTTTTTGTGCGTCTTGATATGATACACGTCCCCACCAAATTTCGTGCATGTAGGTTGAACGTGGACGAGGGGCTAATTTTTTCCAATTTTCTAGGTGGCGCTAGCGTGCCATTTTGCCCCGCCCATCCGCGAAACCCACAAAATACGAAATTTTTCACCAGTCCTGACATGCGTGCCAAATTTGGTGAGTTTTTGAGCATGTTGCGGCCCCGAAAATGGCGCTTACTTTGCAGAAAAAAGAAAAAAAAAAAATAATTCTAACAGTTTCAATAGGGTCCTCGCACTGTTAGTGCTCGGGCCCTAATTAAAGCTGCAAGCAGCGATGGGCGGGCCCTCGCACCTGTAGCGCGTCGGGGTGTGAGGCGGCCGCGTTGCATATTCTGCAGCTCAGCCAGTGCGGCTGTGAATTTGCTACGCTGCTTCGTTAAAGGTCACTTCCTGTTGCCAGCAGGTGGCGCTATGACTGTGGGTGAATGTCGGCATGTAGATTTGTTCAGGGCGGGACTCTTGTCAAATGTGTAAAATTTCGTGCAGATCTGGGCATTTACAGCCAAGTTACTACAACTTCCTGTTTCATGGCGAATCATCGACGCCACGGACACGCCCATCGACGAAAACGCGCAGATAGCACAACTTTACATCGTCAATGCCTTTAGAAGGCACAGCAGAAATTTGAAGTCGATCCGACTAAAGCCCTAGGAGGAGTTAGTTAAAGTACGTAATGAGTAAATCATCCAAAAATGGCGGTAAAATTAGAATGGCTGACTTCCTGTTGAGTTTAGGGCATCGCTCCAAGAGACTTTTCTGTGCGTCTGGACATGGTAGATGTACCACAGAAATTTCGTACATGTCGGTCAAACATGCGACGGGGGCTGCTTCGTTAAATGTCACTTCCTCTTGCCACTAGGTGGCGCTATGACTGTGGGTGAATGTCGGCATGTAGATTTGTTCAGGGCGTGACTCTTGTCAAATGTGTAAAATTTCGTGCAGATCTGGGCATTTACAGCCAAGTTACTACAACTTCCTGTTTCATGGCGAATCATCGACGCCACGGACACGCCCATCGACGAAAACGCGCAGATAGCACAACTTTACATCGTCAATGCCTTTAGAAGGTACAGCAGAAATTTGAAGTTGATCCGACTAAATCCCTAGGAGGAGTTCGTTAAAGTACGGAGTGTGTAAATCGTCCAAATCGGTCGCCGAATTCAAAATGGCGGACTTCCTGTCGAGTTTAGGGTATGGGTTCTTGAGGCTTTTTTGTGCGTCTGGTCATGGTAGATGTACCACAGAAATTTCGTACATGTCGGTCAAACAAGCGGCGGGGGCTGCTTCGTTAAAGGTCACTTCCTGTTGCCAGCAGGTGGCGCTATGACTGTGGGTGAATGTCGGCATGTAGATTTGTTCAGGGCGTGACTCTTGTCAAATGTGTAAAATTTCGTGCAGATCTGGGCATTTACAGCCAAGTTACTACAACTTCCTGTTTCATGGCGAATCTTCGACGCCACGGACACGCCCATCGACGAAAACGCGCAGATAGCACAACTTTACATCGTCAATGCCTTTAGAAGGCACAGCAGAAATTTTAAGTCGATCCGACTAAATCCCTAGGAGGAGTTCGTTAAAGTACGGAGTCTGTAAATCGTCCAAAAATGGCCGCCAAATTCAAAATGGCGGACCTCCTGTCGAGTTTAGGGTATGGGATCTTGAGGCTTTTTTGTGCGTCTTGATATGATACACGTCCCCACCAAATTTCGTGCATGTAGGTTGAACGTGGACGAGGGGCTAATTTTTTCCAATTTTCTAGGTGGCGCTAGCGTGCCATTTTGCCCCTTCCATCTGCGAAACCCACAAAATACGAAATTTTTCACCAGTCCTGACATGCGTGCCAAATTTGGTGAGTTTTTGAGCATGTTGCGGCCCCGAAAATGGCACTTACTTTGCAGAAAAAAGAAAAAAAAAATAAAAATTAAAAGCTGCAAGCAAGCGATGGTGCGGGCCCTCGCACCTGTAGCACGTCGGGTCTGAGGCGGCCGCGTTTCATTTTCTGCAGCTCAGCCAGTGCGGCTGTGCATTTGCCACACTGCTTCGTTAAAGGCACTTCCTGTTGCCAGCAGGTGGCGCTATGACTGTGGGTGAATGTCGGCATGTAGATTTGATCAGGGCGGGACTCTTGTCAAATGTGTTAAATTTTCGTTGCAGATCTGGGCATTTACAGCCAAGTTACACAACTTCCTGTTCATGGCGAATGCATCGACGCCAACGGACACGCCCATTGACAAAACGCGCAGAATAGCAACAACTTTTCATCGTCAATGCCTTTAGAAGGCACAGCAGAAATTTGAAGGCGATCCGACTAAAGCCCTAGGAGGAGTTAGTTAAAGTACGTAATGAGTAAATCATCCAAAAATGGCGGTAAAATTAGAAATGGCTGACTTCCTGTTGAGTTTAGGGCATCGCTCCAAGAGACTTTTCTGTGCGTCTGGACATGGTAGATGTACCACAGAAATTTCGTACATGTCGGTAGGGCTGTGCAATATGAACAAAATAATCACATTGCGATTTTTTTATGAATATTGCAATTGCGATTTTATTTGCGATTTTGGCAATTGTTTTTGCTTTTTCAAACATGTTACATTCTAAATGTATTCAGTGCACAAGAAGTGCATAACAAAACATTTCACAATGAAATAACATTAGTATTAACAGTTTGATAAACAAAACTGTAATATTTAAAACAGAACACAAAACAAATTAATGTTAACTAACCTAAATTCCAGTCATAAAAATAAAGTTAAATAAATAAAATATTTTTCAGTGCACACATTTCACAATGAAAAAACATACTGTGTACAGTAGTATTAACTGCTTAAAGGGTTAGTTCACCCAAAAATGAAAATTCTGTCAGTATTTACTCACCCTCATGTTGTTCCAAACCTCTATGTGTTTATTTGTTCTGTTATACACAAAGGAAGATATTTGGAAGAATGGTTTAATCAAACAGATTTCAATCCCCATTGACTATCATAGTATGTATTTTGATAGTCTATTCCATAGTATGTATTTACTATGGTAGTCAATGGGGAATGAAATCTGTTTGATTAAAACATTCTTCTAAAAATCTTCCTTTTTGTTCAGCAGAACAAATAAAAACATAGAGATTTGGAACAACATGAGGGTGAGTAAATATGACAGAATTTTCATTTTTGGGTGAACTAACCCTTTAACAAACAAAATTGTCATAAATTGTGTCAGACAACAGACAATTAAGATTAACTAACCTAAACTTCTGTCATAACAATAAATACGAACTAACAGAATTCAAAGCCAAAACCTCTTAAAGGTTTTTTGCAAGGAAAACCAGCATGTCTACCATTTCTGGTTTTAAGCATGAACGGTGACATGTCACCACATTTCCCCAGTACTAAACACTCTCTCTGAAGGTGAGCTGGTGGCAGGAATACAAAGATACTTTTGTGCAACCCTGCTCATTCTTGGGAAATTTATCTGATGGAGTCTCCACCATTTCAAAGGATCTTCCTCACTGTCAATGGATGGAGAAAGCAGGTAGCTATTTAGCTCAGAGGCAATGGCTTCTTCAAGTTGCAGAGCTGCTGGCATGGCTGATGTCGTTTTAAAGAAGCTTCCCAAGGACTTCCTTGCTTTTTTGCCTGGTGGAGGGTAGATCGATGTCAGGATTCTCTCTGCTTGTGCTACTCCCAGGTTCATATGTATCCTTTGACATACAGAGCAGAAATAATATTACAGGTAAATAATAAAAAGTCATAGAAAGAGTGTTTATCTTAAGAGATGACAGTTGTATCCAGTTTACATAAATTAACTCACCTTGTGGGAACTCATATCCATATCAGACATGACCCTGGCCTTAATGTTTGGAAGTTTGTCCTCATCAGTGTAGTTGGTTTTGAATCTTGGATCCAAAATGTTGCTATGTCCAGAAGCTCTTGGGTAGTTTCATCCTCATAATGTTTGTTGATGTAGTTAAGAATTTTTGATTTTATAGTCTTTGTCAGGTCAGTATCTTCATCCTTCACTGCAAGTATCTTGGTGTTCAACAGATGAAGAACTGGTTTCACGTAGGATACACTGATGTAGTTTTCACTGGAAAGGGCATCCGTGAACTCCTGAAGTGGACCCAGTGCCTTACTCACAGATTCTAGAACATCTGTGTCTTGCCACTGTGGTACTAGGTGTCTTGTTTTACGGTCAGCTGAAAGGACCTGAGACAATGCCTTCTGTTGCTCCAAAACCCTGTCTATCATTTGTTGCATTGAGCCCCATCTTGTCGGGCATGATGTAATGAGGGCATGTTGGGGAAGCTGAAGTTCTTCCTGGGCTTCGGCTAACATCATCTTTTTTTTTCCAACTGTGGGAAAAATGTCCCACAATCTTTTTGCATAAGCCGTTGGCTCTGGAAATGCGTTCATCCTTGATTGCATTTTCTAAAAAGAAATAATTGCAAAACATGATGAAAATGTGTAATATTGTAAGTATTGCATGCATTTAAATATAACAATTGGGTAATACTTTACAATAAGGTGCTATTTGTCAACAATTAGTTAAAAGTGCAATGTGTATTATTTCTGAGGATCTGTTGACAGAAATGCAATATAAGATCCATAACTATGTTTTCAGTGGTGTATAAAGACCTTACTTAATGAACCGTTATGTTTTTATTACCTTAGAATGAGTCATTTATATCTACATAAGCGCGGGCCACCCCTTAAATGAAGGTCGACATATTGTGACGTCATGTTTGTACCGTAGCTGACAACGAACACACAGCACTACAGAGTTTGCTATGTGGGGAGATATGTGCTGCTGGTTACGTCGGCCACCGTAGCTTCTCCTTAGATTTTGAGATGGGAGGGATAGGCCGTAAGTGGCTTTCTTTTTGCAATTCGTGAATCTCATAGATGCTGCTAAATATCACACACTGCACCTTTAATGCATTAGCTAAAATGAACTAACAATGAACAATATTAATACAGCATTTATTAATGTTAATTCATGTTAATTTTAGGATTTACTTATACATTATTAAAATCAAACGTTGTCACTGTTAGTTAATGCACCATGAACTAACATGAATAACTAGTGAATTTGTATTTCATGTATTAGTATGCTAAAATGAACATGAACTATAACCTTAATAAATGCTGTACTAGTTGTTACATACTATTGGCACGAACTAATAACATTAACAATAATTAATAAATGCTGAAAAAATAAATTGTTCATTGTTTGCTAATGTATTTAATTACAACTGTTAACAAATATCACCTTTTGTAAAGTTTTCCTAACTAATGACAAGTAAAAAATACTAAAGTACATAATACATTTTTATATTAAACATCATTGCACAATTTGTTTCTTAATAAAAAAATACGCCCTACAAAGTGTCCTAATATTCTTAATATGTAAAGTATAAATATATGTACAATAAACACTAACTTACCAATTGCCAAATGTAGTCTGTGCCCGAAGCACTGCAGTCGTGTCCAGTTGTTCAAAGTGACAGCCTTCACTATATTGGATCCATTGTCTGTGGTGATAGACACTTGTTGATCTTCACAAAGTCCCCATGATGCTAAAGCTTCTTTTAAACCTTGAGCGATATTTTCTCCAGTGTGATTTTCTGGAAAATATGCTGTTTGCAAGCATCGACTTTTTATTTCATAGTTGTCATCGATATAATGGACCGTTAAACTCATGTACGGCTCCATCGTTCTGCTGGACCACATATCTGTGGTCGTGGCGTAGAATTTCACCTTTTTAAGCTCGTATTCAACGCCCGCCTTACATTTCTCATACATTTCGGGAATCGCAACCCGTGTGAAATGAGTGCGAGACGGCAGCTGGTATCTTTTGTCCAGTGTTTGAATTAGTCTTCGGAAGCCGTCTTTACTGACGATGTACGCAGGCACCATGTCTTTGCATATATGATTTGTGATTGCGTCTGTGATTTCTTTGTGCCGTTTTGATCCTTTCTCATAAGGCGTGACGCTTGCAAATGCTTGAACGATGGATACTTGTTCAGATGGCTGGCTTTGAGGTGTGCTTTTGTCAGTTTCGCTGGACTTTGTCGACATGCATTGATCATGGAGCTTTTTATGGCGCTGTTTTAAGTGTTGAAACAGGTTTGTAGTATTGCCCCGTTTCGTCGCAATAATCGTTTCACAAGTCTTGCAAATTACCTTGCTCTGTGTCACATCCTCTCTCCTGAATCCAAAATACTCCCAAACGATTGATGTTGAATTTCTCTTTGGCACCAGATCATTTTTATTCTGACCCACATCCATATTTTACATTCTTTTCTCCCGCTCGCCTCTGTTCTCCCGCTCACCTATTCTGTTCTCCCGCTCAGTTCAATTGTAATTTGAGCGGTGCGCTGAGTGGGCTCTGATTGGTTAACATCTTGCGCACAAGAACGTAAATAGAAATTAATTAATAAAATCGCAGCCTTATGCGGTTTAGAAATCGCATGTGCTCAAATCGCGATTGTTTTGCGATTGCGATTAATTGCACAGCCCTACATGTCGGTCAAACATGCGACGGGGGCTGCTTCGTTAAATGTCACTTCCTCTTGCCACTAGGTGGCGCTATGAATGTGGGTGAATGTCGGCATGTAGATTTGTTCAGGACGGGACTCTTGTCAAATGTGTAAAATTTCGTGTAGATCTGGGCATTTACAGCCAAGTTACTACAACTTCCTGTTTCATGGCGAATCATCGACGCCACGGACACGCCCATCGACGAAAACGCGCAGATAGCACAACTTTACATCGTCAATGCCTTTAGAAGGTACAGCAGAAATTTGAAGTTGATTCGACTAAATCCCTAGGAGGAGTTCGTTAAAGTACGGAGTGTGTAAATCGCCCCAAATCGGTCGCCGAATTCAAAATGGCGGACTTCCTGTCGAGTTTAGGGTATGGGTTCTTGAGGCTTTTTTGTGCGTCTGGTCATGGTAGATGTACCACAGAAATTTCGTACATGTCGGTCAAACAAGCGGCGGGGGCTGCTTCGTTAAAGGTCACTTCCTGTTGCCAGCAGGTGGCGCTATGACTGTGGGTGAATGTCGGCATGTAGATTTGTTCAGGGCGTGACTCTTGTCAAATGTGTAAAATTTCGTGCAGATCTGGGCATTTACAGCCAAGTTAGTACAACTTCCTGTTTCATGGCGAATCTTCGACGCCACGGACACGCCCATCGACGAAAACGCGCAGATAGCACAACTTTACATCATCAATGCCTTTAGAAGGCACAGCAGAAATTTTAAGTCGATCCGACTAAATCCCTAGGAGGAGTTCGTTAAAGTACGGAGTCTGTAAATCGTCCAAAAATGGCCGCCAAATTCAAAATGGCGGACCTCCTGTCGAGTTTAGGGTATGGGTTCTTGAGGCTTTTTTGTGCGTCTTGATATGATACACGTCCCCACCAAATTTCGTGCATGTAGGTTGAACGTGGACGAGGGGCTAATTTTTTCCAATTTTCTAGGTGGCGCTAGCGTGCCATTTTGCCCCGCCCATCTGCGAAACCCACAAAATACGAAATTTTTCACCAATCCTGACATGCGTGCCAAATTTGGTGAGTTTTTGAGCATGTTGCGGCCCCGAAAATGGCACTTACTTTGCAGAAAAAAGAAAAAAAAAAAAAAAAAAAAAAAAAAAAAATTAAAGCTGCAAGCAGCGATGGGCGGGCCCTCGCACCTGTAGCACGTCGGGGTGTGAGGCGGCCGCGTTTCATTTTCTGCAGCTCAGCCAGTGCGGCTGTGCATTTGCCACACTGCTTCGTTAAAGGCCACTTCCTGTTGCCAGCAGGTGGCGCTATGACTGTGGGTGAATGTCGGCATGTAGATTTGATCAGGGCGGGACTCTTGTCAAATGTGTTAAATTTCGTGCAGATCTGGGCATTTACAGCCAAGTTACTACAACTTCCGGTTTCATGGCGAATCATCGACGCCACGGACACGCCCATCGACAAAAACGCGTAGATAGCACAACTTTTCATCGTCAATGCCTTTAGAAGGCACAGCAGAAATTTGAAGGCGATCCGACTAAAGCCCTAGGAGGAGTTAGTTAAAGTACGTAATGAGTAAATCATCCAAAAATGGCGGTAAAATTAGAAATGGCTGACTTCCTGTTGAGTTTAGGGCATCGCTCCAAGAGACTTTTCTGTGCGTCTGGACATGGTAGATGTACCACAGAAATTTCGTACATGTCGGTCAAACATGCGACGGGGGCTGCTTCGTTAAATGTCACTTCCTCTTGCCACTAGGTGGCGCTATGAATGTGGGTGAATGTCGGCATGTAGATTTGTTCAGGACGGGACTCTTGTCAAATGTGTAAAATTTCGTGTAGATCTGGGCATTTACAGCCAAGTTACTACAACTTCCTGTTTCATGGCGAATCATCGACGCCACGGACACGCCCATCGACGAAAACGCGCAGATAGCACAACTTTACATCGTCAATGCCTTTAGAAGGTACAGCAGAAATTTGAAGTTGATCCGACTAAATCCCTAGGAGGAGTTCGTTAAAGTACGGAGTGTGTAAATCGTCCCAAATCGGTCGCCGAATTCAAAATGGCGGACTTCCTGTCGAGTTTAGGGTATGGGTTCTTGAGGCTTTTTTGTGCGTCTGGTCATGGTAGATGTACCACAGAAATTTCGTACATGTCGGTCAAACAAGCGGCGGGGGCTGCTTCGTTAAAGGTCACTTCCTGTTGCCAGCAGGTGGCGCTATGACTGTGGGTGAATGTCGGCATGTAGATTTGTTCAGGGCGGGACTCTTGTCAAATGTGTAAAATTTCGTGCAGATCTGGGCATTTACAGCCAAGTTACTACAACTTCCTGTTTCATGGCGAATCTTCGACGCCACGGACACGCCCATCGACGAAAACGCGCAGATAGCACAACTTTACATCGTCAATGCCTTTAGAAGGCACAGCAGAAATTTTAAGTCGATCCGACTAAATCCCTAGGAGGAGTTCGTTAAAGTACGGAGTCTGTAAATCGTCCAAAAATGGCCGCCAAATTCAAAATGGCGGACCTCCTGTCGAGTTTAGGGTATGGGTTCTTGAGGCTTTTTTGTGCGTCTTGATATGATACACGTCCCCACCAAATTTCGTGCATGTAGGTTGAACGTGGACGAGGGGCTAATTTTTTCCAATTTTCTAGGTGGCGCTAGCGTGCCATTTTGCCCCGCCCATCTGCGAAACCCACAAAATACGAAATTTTTCACCAGTCCTGACATGCGTGCCAAATTTGGTGAGTTTTTGAGCATGTTGCGGCCCCGAAAATGGCACTTACTTTGCAGAAAAAAAAAAAAAAAAAAAAAAAAAAATTAAAGCTGCAAGCAGCGATGGGCGGGCCCTCGCACCTGTAGCGCGTCGGGGTGTGAGGCGGCCGCGTTGCATATTCTGCAGCTCAGCCAGTGCGGCTGTGCATTTGCTACGCTGCTTCGTTAAAGGTCACTTCCTGTTGCCAGCAGGTGGCGCTATGACTGTGGGTGAATGTCGGCATGTAGATTTGTTCAGGGCGGGACTCTTGTCAAATGTGTTAAATTTCGTGCAGATCTGGGCATTTACAGCCAAGTTACTACAACTTCCTGTTTCATGGCGAATCATCGACGCCACGGACACGCCCATCGACAAAACGCGCAGATAGCACAACTTTACATCGTCAATGCCTTTAGAAGGCACAGCAGAAATTTGAAGTCGATCCGACTAAAGCCCTAGGAGGAGTTAGTTAAAGTACGTAATGAGTAAATCATCCAAAAATGGCGGTAAAATTAGAAATGGCTGACTTCCTGTTGAGTTTAGGGCATCGCTCCAAGAGACTTTTCTGTGCGTCTGGACATGGTAGATGTACCACAGAAATTTCGTACATGTCGGTCAAACATGCGACGGGGGCTGCTTCGTTAAATGTCACTTCCTCTTGCCACTAGGTGGCGCTATGAATGTGGGTGAATGTCGGCATGTAGATTTGTTCAGGGCGGGACTCTTGTCAAATGTGTAAAATTTCGTGCAGATCTGGGCATTTACAGCCAAGTTACTACAACTTCCTGTTTCATGGCGAATCATCGACGCCACGGACACGCCCATCGACGAAAACGCGCAGATAGCACAACTTTACATCGTCAATGCCTTTAGAAGGTACAGCAGAAATTTGAAGTTGATCCGACTAAATCCCTAGGAGGAGTTCGTTAAAGTACGGAGTGTGTAAATCGTCCCAAATCGGTCGCCGAATTCAAAATGGCGGACTTCCTGTCGAGTTTAGGGTATGGGTTCTTGAGGCTTTTTTGTGCGTCTGGTCATGGTAGATGTACCACAGAAATTTCGTACATGTCGGTCAAACAAGCGGCGGGGGCTGCTTCGTTAAAGGTCACTTCCTGTTGCCAGCAGGTGGCGCTATGACTGTGGGTGAATGTCGGCATGTAGATTTGTTCAGGGCGGGACTCTTGTCAAATGTGTAAAATTTCGTGCAGATCTGGGCATTTACAGCCAAGTTACTACAACTTCCTGTTTCATGGCGAATCTTCGACGCCACGGACACGCCCATCGACGAAAACGCGCAGATAGCACAACTTTACATCGTCAATGCCTTTAGAAGGCACAGCAGAAATTTTAAGTCGATCCGACTAAATCCCTAGGAGGAGTTCGTTAAAGTACGGAGTCTGTAAATCGTCCAAAAATGGCCGCCAAATTCAAAATGGCGGACCTCCTGTCGAGTTTAGGGTATGGGTTCTTGAGGCTTTTTTGTGCGTCTTGATATGATACACGTCCCACCAAATTTCGTGCATGTAGGTTGAACGTGGACGAGGGGCTAATTTTTTCCAATTTTCTAGGTGGCGCTAGCGTGCCATTTTGCCCCGCCCATCTGCGAAACCCACAAAATACGAAATTTTTCACCAGTCCTGACATGCGTGCCAAATTTGGTGAGTTTTTGAGCATGTTGCGGCCCCGAAAATGGCACTTACTTTGCAGAAAAAAGAAAAAAAAAAATTAAAGCTGCAAGCAGCGATGGGCGGGCCCTCGCACCTGTAGCGCGTCGGGGTGTGAGGCGGCCGCGTTGCATTTTCTGCAGCTCAGCCAGTGCGGCTGTGCATTTGCTACGCTGCTTCGTTAAAGGTCACTTCCTGTTGCCAGCAGGTGGCGCTATGACTGTGGGTGAATGTCGGCATGTAGATTTGTTCAGGGCGGGACTCTTGTCAAATGTGTAAATTTCGTGCAGATCTGGGCATTTACAGCCAAGTTACTACAACTTCCTGTTTCATGGCGAATCATCGACGCCACGGACACGCCCATCGACGAAAACGCGCAGATAGCACAACTTTACATCGTCAATGCCTTTAGAAGGCACAGCAGAAATTTGAAGTCGATCCGACTAAAGCCCTAGGAGGAGTTAGTTAAAGTACGTAATGAGTAAATCATCCAAAAATGGCGGTAAAATTAGAAATGGCTGACTTCCTGTTGAGTTTAGGGCATCGCTCCAAGAGACTTTTCTGTGCGTCTGGACATGGTAGATGTACCACAGAAATTTCGTACATGTC